AGGGTTCAGGGTTTAGGGTTCAGATATGTAGGGGTTATATTGAGAGAGAGAGAGAGAGAGAGAGATATATATATATGGGTTATAATCTTGGGGATAGCTTGGGATGATGGAAAAGAAAATGGAAACTACTATTTAGGGTTTAGGGTTCAGTTTAGGGTTTGGGGTTTGGTTCAGAGGGGTGCTTTGCCTGCTTCAATCCCAATAATTGGCTAGAATCGGTTCTGACAGTGAGAAAAGCACCTTTACATTTGCTAGATACTTAGAGTTGAAGCAACTCCCATGCAGGAATGTCCAATATGTTTTTTGGGGGTGGGTCTCATTTTTCATCATTATAGTATAGTTAGGTGGGTCTATAGTGGAGTTCCCCCTATTTGTGGAGCCCCCCATATAAGGTGCCGTGCTATATGTATGCCAGGACTGTGTAGGGTTTTGTAGGCATAATCGCATTGGCATAGTACTGTACTTCAGTTGAATGAAATGTCGAGGAACAGACGGACTGATTGCCTCAAGCCAATCCGCTGGGGAGTTCTGTAGTGGCTGGAATGGCAAAGCGTCAGACATGAGTTTGATAAAACGCCCCAATACGATTAGTGCATGTCTCGTTGCTGTCAGGCTAAGTAAGGCACCCACCCCAGCCTAGACCCGAAACTGAGCCCTATCCCCAACTGCCCCTTAACCCTGAACCCCAAACACCACAAGATAAACCCAGATCCCACGTGATTTCCCATGTTTTTGTCCATGTGGTTCTCCATCAGCGGGGCCTTGTTTTCCAGGAGTTGAGCGACCAGGAGGGCAACTGCTTTATGCTCTTGGTAAGCGCTGGGGGCTCAGAGAGGGCTCCAACAAGCCGAAACTGCACAACTACGCTTCAAGGTGTGCTCTGTCTGAGGTCACGACTAAGAAGGGTGCTTCTGTTGCATAATTTTGGGTCTAGAAGTGGGACCTCTAATGTCAAGAGATACCTCTGAGCGTGTCATACACCGTGGTTTTGTTCATCGTAATTTGCTTAAAGCCCCAAATGCAGCTGGTCGCACGTCCCTGCATGAGGGCTTCCCGTCGTGCGCCTACGTTCAGAGATTCATAGGGAGTCTGTCTGGGAGTTAGTTCCTGACCTCCCCGGCAGGTGATAGGCCGCATAGCCGCATAGCGACTAGAGTGTGGATAAGGTCCTGGGGGTAGTTTTTTTCCATGCAAATATCATATACGTACATATGTATGTATGCATATACGTAGAGACAGAGGGCGAAAGAGAGCGAGAGAAAGACGCTCCGAATATGAGACCCAGCTCCTTGACGGCTTAGTGTCAACGAAGTATGTAGAGAGCTGTGTAACACAGCCAGCAAGGCTGTGTGTAGTTCTACATGCTTTTGGGCTTAGGCAGAGCCACGCGTTGTACTGCCCCTGAACAACTTGAACCATTGACATTGACTCGTTCGCGAGTTCTTCGGCAGGTCTCTGCTCGCAAGAGTCGAAGTAGGGCCCCCAGATTGGCTTTAGGATTTCTAGGCGTGGCTGAATTATTTGCAATTTTCGCTGGTTATAAACCCTCAATAAACAGCTAAATGTCATTGTTGGGAGGGTTAGAGGGCAGAGGCAGATTCAAGTTTTGGGTTTGGGGTTCACGGCCTTCAAGCTCTATAAGACCTTGGTACAACAAGCGAAGGGCTTGCAGGGTTCGAGGTCGTGCCGGACAGGCTGGTTGGAATTCTCAGCTTACAGATAGTTAAAGTGAGGTGCAAGCTAAGGTGGAGGCTTTGACCATGGCCATTGTACACTAGTTCCTTCCCCTTGTAATCAAACGTTCCCTCCCTCACACAAGTTGGTCACTGACTGAGCCATCCTGGGGCTTGATCCGATCACGTTAGCCATCTCAAAGGAAGGATCTGAACACCCAGCTCCTTGTAAAGAAATGGGGGTGCCTCTGTTTCTAGCTTAGTGAATACATGCCGCAGCTATGATCCCCTCCCCCCTGTGCAGGAGTAAGTACGGGATCATTGTGACCAACTTCTTTCTGTAGCCCAGACAGTGCAGGAACTGGGTCCCGGTCTGTTTCCCCCCAACATGAACCATCTTTAATACTAGACCCCAACAATGTGATCATAGTTTGAGGACACATCTCCAATAAACCCAAAGTCCTCAAACGCTAAATGCTATAGGCCCTACCAGCCACAGACGGGCCTGCAGGCACCGGTGCAGATGGTCCACCAAGCCAAGGAGGCTAGTGATGCAGTGTTCTCTCTTCGGGAACCACGGAGTATGTGGATTGTAGCGGCGGACCCTAAACCCTAAACAGGCTTATTCTAAGTTGTGTTGATCCCAGTCTCTAATAGAGCCCTGAAGCTTCCAGGCACCAGGTTGGTAAAGATAATTCAATGGTAAGCTAGAAAGCTGAATAGGGAAGTAATCTTGAATATGTTTCCTTATTCAACAGCACCCACTGCCCAGGTGTGCAGATCAACCTCTTTGCCGGTGCCTACCTGCGCAACGTGTCCTCGCTGCCGCTGCAGCTACAGTTTGGCAACAAGGCAGGGGCTTAACTGGCTTTAGCGTGCATAGCTACAAGGCACACTGGCAGCCTTAACAGGCAAGCAAGAATTGATGTCGCCGAGCCTTGCACATTCTGATTGGGTTGTCGATTTTTGGTGCAGGGCGTTGGTTTCAGGAATTGAGCGCTAGGGCCTAGGAAATTGGCCTCTTACGGGAATAGTGGGGCGGCCTCCTGCAAACTACCAGTACTATTACTGCCACTATTCTTATTTGGGCACGTGCCAAAACGATTG